AAGAAATTGCTGAGTGACATATCTTGTATAGTTGATTTTTATTTCCAGGAAATTTGAGATTGTAGCGGATCTTGTATGTTGTGAAATGAATGCCGTCAAGGGATCTTTACATGACTGTGGATTTCAATATTCAGCATGGTTAAGGACGCTCAGCAAGGATATTCGTTTGTCTTCTGATTTTGGGAATCTTTATATCCACAGTGCCTTATCTGAGATGTTTTGAGCTTCAGCTGCTGCAACCAAATTTAAAAATGATGAGTACATTTACTAGCAGTAAAGAAATTGTGGAGTTGGGAGAAGAAATGGATTCTAATTCTAATGTCAATGAAGATATGATAGGGAAGCCATTGAAGAAGTATTCTATAGAGGATGACATCAATAAACTATTTGAGGCAATAGATATTCGAAGTTCTCGTCGAAGTGTATGTCAATCTGAACAAGGTGTTAGAGATTCTTTACATAAGAGTGCCATGAAAAGGCCAATGAGGGTTAGTCCCTCTCATGCATCAGGTATTGGAATCTCAGAATCGGTGAGTCTGAAACAGGCTTTACGAGGATTATGCATATCCCAAGCATCAGAGATGGCTGCAGTAAAGAAGCGATTGTCAAAACCATCAGCTTCCCCAAGGGTCTTAGAAGAAGGAGCCGTCACGAGGTTGTACAGGGCTGTAGTGATTGAAGCCAGTGAATCTGATCAACCCTTCTGTGAAGGCAAAGGAAATGTGGTGGAGATATCCTTTACACCAGAAAGAAGCGCATCAAATATTTCGGACAAGAAATCTCAATCTGGATATGCATCCATGGCTGAAATATCTGACAAAAATGCTCAGTCTTCTGGTCATATGGGAGATGTATCAGTACAAGAGGCTAAAATAACCGAAATAATAACAAAGGATGAGAATGTTCCCTTTTCAACTAGTCTTTGTTTTGAACTGTCAAAATCTGAGTCAGAGCAAAATAGGAAGTTGGAATTACCATATTCTTCAATTGGAAGTGTAGTTGACAAGAAACTTCCAGTGTTGGATGAGATAGTTCCCATTTCAGATGAGGATTCAATCACATCAAGTGGGCTGCACAAGGAGCAGGAAGGCAAGCTGCATTCTGAGTATTTATCATCAGTCTTTAATGCAGGAAGCAAGATCATCAAACCTTTGAATACAAGTTCACCTTTTAGCAAACCACGTGTAAGAAGCCAAAACTTTGTCAAGAAGAAGGTTGTGTCAAAAAAATTTCCTGTTTCCTGCATTCCCAGTTGCCAAACTAGTAAATTGGTGAATCAGGCACCTGATTCTGTCCTGAAAAATGGATGTAAAGAATTGGACAAAGTATCCCCAACATCAAGTACTAATGGAAATCTGGAAGTCTGTTCTACTGCACATGGCCTTGTTAAAACTAGAAGTATAGTGACAAAAGCTGATGAAAGATCGAGATCAAGGGAAAAGGGGGACAGCTCCCAAAGCTCAAAAAGTAGCATTGGAGAGTACAGTAGTACGACAAGCTATAGTGAGGAAAGCCATGTCAGTGGGTCTAGTCGCAGTGGCTGTCGGCCTCACATGTCAAAAGACTTGAGATGGGAAGCCATACACTATGCTCAGAAGCAGCATGGAAGCTTGGCTTTGAAGCATTTCAAGCTGCTGAGAAAGCTTGGTGGTGGAGACATTGGCAGTGTTTACCTCTCTGAGCTAGTTGATACAAACTGCCTGTTTGCCGTGAAAGTTATGGATAATGATTGTCTGGCTAGCAGAAAGAAGATGCTGAGGGCTCAAACTGAAAAAGAGATACTGGAAATGCTGGATCACCCATTCCTTCCTACACTTTATGCCCATTTTCTGACAAATAAGTTCTCGTGTTTGGTCATGGAATATTGTCCTGGAGGTGATCTGCATGTGCTCCGGCAGAAGCAACCTACCAAAAGTTTCCCTGAGCAAGCAGCCAGGTAGATGTTTTAAGCTTTGCCGATAACTCATGTTATTTTGATTTGATTCTTCTAACTTTTAAACATGAGCAGCTGATTGCATTTTGGCTACAAATACTCGATGAGTGTCTAATGGAAATTTAGTTCGCGTGTAGATTTGTTATCGAAGTTGCATCTTAGCACAATGTGTGTCTTTGTCTGATGGATTTTATGGATTGGCCTGTCCTCCTTTGGAATAGATTCACAGAAATATGAGAGTCCAGACTTGCATAAGTTGAATAAATTAAAGGATTGTGGGGGTGGGAACCTAATCATTAGATATTAAATAGAACTGAACTCCTAGATTGGAACTTATGAGCCAACAAATACTCATCTGCAAATAGGCAAACAAGAAGAAACTACATCACATAAAAACTATGAACCAAAAGGACAACAAACAAGGCAATACTGATAGCATGCCGATTTGACGCTGCCTGCAATTTATACTAGCTTCATATGAAATTCTGTGTGTCATCTTATCTTACAAGATCTTTTATTGGTTCAAGTAATATATGTCCGAGTAAATGTTCTTGGATGGCCCCTACAGGCTACAGCATTAAACCTAAGCAGGTAAAGATAGGGGGCCATCCGAACTCAATCTTACAGTTAAACATTTGGTGAGGACTTCAGATGAATTCCTGAGAATCTAGTTTTTTTATTATCCCCGTGTAGCATTTTTAAATGTCAAAACACTTGAACTTGGTGCAAGGGTGAACTTTCCAAAGTCCAAATTACATTCTTATACCCTGTTAATTCAAGATCCGAAACGAACATAATACATCAATAATTTTGAATTAGAAGGTTGTAGATGACAAAAGGTACATTACATGCCTCCTTGCTGAATGTTGTTCTTCTTTTTGTTTGTTGAACACATTTGGCGTGCTAGCAACGGACTTATGAGATTCTCTCATTTAAAGAATTATTCGTGACATAGGCCAGGTGTTTAATTATGATTCTCTTTGGCAATGAAGCTATGTGCTCAACTTATGATCTGGTCTCTTGTGATACTAAATACACAGGTTTTATGTTGCGGAAGTTCTTCTTGCATTAGAGTACCTTCATATGCTTGGAGTAGTATACCGAGACCTAAAGCCTGAAAACGTTTTGGTCAGAGAAGATGGTCATATCATGCTTTCAGATTTCGACTTGTCTCTTAGATGTGCTGTAAAACCTACGTTACTCAAGTCGTCTCCGCCTGCTGTTGGGCCTCCAAAAAAGATGTCTAGTCCATGCTCAGATTCTAGCTGCATAGAGCCTTTCTGCCTCCATCCATCCTGGCAAGTCTCCTGTTTCACACCTGGGTTTTTATCTGCTGCAGCGAAAACCCGAAAACTAAAATCTGAACTAGCTGCCCAGGTCATTCCTCTACCGCAGCTCGTAGTGGAACCCACTAGTGCACGATCCAACTCCTTTGTAGGAACTCATGAATACCTGGCTCCAGAGATCATCAAAGGTGAAGGTCATGGGAGTGCTGTAGATTGGTGGACCTTTGGAATTTTTCTTTACGAGATTTTATACGGTAAGACACCCTTCAAAGGATCAACCAACGAGGATACTCTATCAAATGTGGTATCCCAATGCCTCAAGTTCCCTGGAAGCCCTATGGTTAGTTCTCATGCTCGAGATTTGATGAGAAGGTTATTAAAGAAGGAGCCGGAGAATAGGTTGGGTTATGAGAAGGGGGCAGCGGAGATTAAGCAACATCCTTTCTTTGAAGGCCTGAACTGGGCTTTGATACGATGTGAAACACCTCCAGAGCTCCCTAGAGTCTTCGACTTGGGAAACCTTATCCCAGACACGACCTCTCAGGATAAGAGTAACAAAAACCAGATTGGATACGAAGATACAGGAGATGGTGTAGAATTTGAGATGTTCTAGCAAAAACCTGTGTTGAGAAAAATGTAGGTTAGATTTCTCATTCTGACTCGAGCTTTCTCATCCTTGTTGTGACAGATATATATAAATACATGGCATATAGTATTAGTATACATATATTCAGAAAACTGGGAGCATTGCAAACACTTGAATACAAAATAGAAGGTCAACATACTTGTATTTTGCTTGTTTTATCTGAAATATGACTATATCTCTTACAAATTCGACCAATTTTCTCGATTAAGTGTGATATATTTTACATTTACAATAAACAGGTACGAGTCTATGCGAAACTCGACCATGGTGTGTTGTAATAACTACGCAATCGTCTACTTAGTCTGACTTCATAATATCAGAACCTTCAAATTAGTTGTTGTAATGCAAATAATCATTAGTAGCTTGGATAAATTATATACGTGCTGGATGCAAAATCCCAGCATGTAAGAAAATATTGTCACTAAAATAATGGTGGGTCATTTATACTAGAACAGTCGATAAGCCAACTGCTACTGCTGGTGAACTGTGCTATAATATGATACATGAACACGAAGTCACTTTTGGCCTCTCAAAAGTCATGCCAAACAGGTGCGAAGTCCATTAAAATTAATGTATGACTTTAACTTTAAATTATAGCGAAATTGTAATTTTCCCCAAACAATCACTAAAGCTTTGTGAAAATCATTGTAGGTGAAGAAATATATATATATATATCGATAATTTCAGGATACTTCACAAATATTAGAGTTTTAGGGGACTCGTAATTATCTATGAAATTGATTTATTTTTTAAAAAAAAATCATTTCTATGTGCATTTTGGAGGTCTTAATTTGATTTTTGTTCTCCAACAATATAAATTTTTTTGCTCACAACTACTGTAGTTGCTACACCAGAAAAATAATCAATTATATGTGCATTTATGGTGCTCAACTTCAATCTAAGTGGTAATGGGACCATTTTCACATTGTCCAATGAAAACCCGTGCTAAGAATTACTAGTGTTATGGGAAATGCAATCAAATCATTAAGGACGACGAACGAAGATTCATTACTCACAACATGTCCGAACTATGCAATTATTAGCATCGAGAAAAAGTATACTTGAACAAACACTATTGTGAAATACACGCTTCTAATGCTGCCACGTGGACTTTCGTTGAATAGAAGACATATCTTCATTCCTTCTTCCCAATCCCATGAGACAAGTTATAGATCCCTCTTCCCTGAACAACATTCATCAAGAACAATCAGATCAAACTCAACTGTGTATGCATTGTCTAACGCTTAAAAGAGCAAAACGAACTCACAATCATAAATAAAGAAGTAGCAGCCAATGCCAAAGGAATGGCTACTGAGGTAATCTTATCATATCGTCCTTTCAGATATGTGTGTTTGTGGACGCTCTGGAAAAACTTTTGCTTCTCAACGAGCTTTTCCCTTGGCCTAAAGGGCTCTTCAGACATCCTGCATAATTTATTTATTCTTCCAACTGTTCAGTTCTAATCCCCAAAACTTCTTTGACAAAAAAGGAAAATGAAAAATCAATTAAAAAAAAAAAGCTCATTGCAACTTCTCAATCTACCGAGCAAGTTTCATGTTAACAAGAAGAAGTCATATGTTACTTGTGGTACTAAACAGTTATTCCTTTCAAAATTATTAGTACTTGAATACTTTATCCAGTCTACATTTTTTTCCCATCATCCTGATAGGTGGGAGTAGTAGAACACCACCCAATATAGTAATAAGATTGGCAAATGAAATTTGTTCAATTTATAAACAGAAAATGGACATGCCCTATCCTTCAGAAAATATAGAAGTAGACAGAATCAATAGTAAGAAGTAAACTTCTGTAATGTAATAAGGGACCATTTTGTAGTACTTCTGATTTTGCTTCTTGTAGATCTTCTGACAAAGTACTCAAAGTACCGTAAAACAATTATCCAATTTTTACCCAAACATGCTCAAAAGCAGCTTCTCTCAAATGGCTTTTGACTGCCAAACGGCCCTAAGAGCATCAGTTCTTAACATGAGGATGCCAAATACTATTCAACCACTCTCCCTTAAATCTCAGCTTTTGAGACAATAATCCAAAACATGGAGTTGAGATTCACAAGAAGCTAACCAAAATTTCCATCATGCAACAAATATAACTTCAAAATTCAATAAAAATACATTCGCATAATCATCAGACAAAAATTAAACAGAAAAAAAAAACTGAAAGCTAGATCTAATATAAAATTACGAAATCGACAGATTAAAAACCATAAAAAAATAATAATAATAAAGAGTCCTGATATGAGAAATTTACAGCAGGTCAAAGATGATAATTTGGAGAAATTAAAATTATAATCAATATTAGATAGCAATAGATACTTGCTTGATTGTGAATTGAAAAGGCACCAGGTAGCAGAGACGATGAAGAAAGAGGCTGCAACGCAGTAGACAATAAGAAAGTGCTAGAAATGAAATCGCAAGGGTTGAAAATTGCGAAGAAATTCGGGTCAGACCGGCGAGGTTCTTCCGGTTTGGATACTATTCCGGAAGCAGGCCTGCTTCTGACCGAACAAATGAAATTTTACATAAATAGCATCCATTTAGTACAGAACTTGGAAAAGTACTTCAATTGTAGACTTTTACGTCCAGCAGTGTTTTCTTTATGATTGTCAACATCCTTTTGGATAGGGATGTAAATGGATCGGATATGGATCAGATTTGTCTATATCCGATTTGATAAGAAAATTATCCGATCCGATCCGATCCGATCGGATAATCCAACGGATATTTGATTATTAAATCTATATCCGATTTGCTATGTTATCGGATATCCGATCCGATTATCCGATCCGAAATTAATAAAAATTAGGAAAAAAATAAGAGGAAATTACACCTAATCCTAGATTTAGATTTCCATTTTCACAAATCAGATCACTAGTTATTGTAAAGTTTTTAGTCCAAAAAATATAGATTAATTTATTATTATAATTAATTATTAAATTTCATCCCAATATATAATCCCAAAATCAAACCTAATTTCATTATCCTCCGTCCCAATCTTCTCTCCTCCCCGTCGGCGTCTTCTCTCTTCTCCCTCTTCGGTGACGACGGCTGCGCTCGTGACCCTTCCCATATCTACTGGCGAAGTCTTCTCTCCTCATGTCACTGTCCTCTCTCTTCCCTTACCGACAGCGTCTCCGTCCTCTCTCTTCCCCTACCGACGGTTTCTTTCTTTCTTTTTACCGGCGCTCGGAGCGGTACGTTTCTCCTTCTCTCCGGCGCTCAAAGCTATGCCCTTCTCTGTCCTCACTTCCTCACTGCAATATAGCGCCCATCGCTGTTGGTCACAGCGACGTGGATCTGTTATGTCCCTTTTTTTTTTTCGAGTTTGATTTTATGGATGGTAGTGGTGGTTTAATGGCTAATTTGTGCTGATGGTTGCAAATCTGTGGTGGTTTCTGCCGAACGGTGTTGTTGGGCGTGTGTGCATGGGTACGATGGTGGTGGATCGACAATGGTGGTTGCTGTGTGTGCATGGGCGAGTGGTCGTAAACGGTGCGGTGTCGTGGTGTGGCGGTGGATTGGGCACTGCGAATTGTGGATGTTGGGCAGCGGGTGCGGTGGGGTGTGTGTGGTCTGTGTGCGGATGGGTGTTATCCGGTTCCTTGGTGTTGATATCGTGGTTTTTGTTGTTGTTGGAGTGGTCACAGAAGTTGCGGGTGGATTTGGTGATGCTCACAAATGATTTGATTGTTTGTGACCAATAATTTAGTCGGTTTGTGATCAATATACAATTTGTGACCAATGAATTCGATAAATTGTGACCCATACAAGTTGTGTGACCTAAGAATTACTAACTTGTGACCTAAAAATTATTAATATGTGACCAATAAATTGATATCTGTGACCATAAATTACGTAACGTAACTTTTAAATTTTATTATTGTGACCGATGAA